TATATGTATGTGTGTGTGTGTGTGTGTAAAAAAATGGCATTGATTCCTGACATGTTATCAAACCTGTAATAAAAGATAAAGTTTTAACTTTGTTGATCCTCCGTCTGGGACATTTACAGGAGCAGGAAATTGACCGTGTTACAGCAGCAAGAGAAACTAACTCTCAGTGAATAAGAGAAAAATAGAATATTAACACAACAGAAAGTCGTTGGAAGAGCAAAGCACAAAGGTTATAAATAGAAAATGGATAAAAAGAAATGAGTGTGAGCTCTTTCTCTTCTTCTTGACTCTTCCTCAGACATCATGGGCCGTCTCTGAGAATCCTTCAGATTTGTTAACCAGGTCACTATGTGTGTGCTGACATGTTAACGTTACCTGTTGTTGTCGCTGTGTTTGTTGCAGTTTTCCTGCGGAGCCACAAGAGTCTGGAGTCTGTGGATCCTCAGTTCACCATGAGGAGGAAGATGGAGCAGCTGAGAGAAGAGCTGGAGCTCATGGAGCAGCTCAGAGACGTGAGACACTGATTGTTTACATCACCGTGTCAAAGCTGATTCTACGTCAACATGAAAATATTAAACTTGTTTCCCAAGGTTCTGTTCTTACTGGAGTTTAGTGGCTGATTTTGAGTTTTTTGCATTATAATTAAAGTCCGTCACTTCACCACGACCCAAACCCAACGCTGTCCGAGTTTTCAAGAACTGTAGATCACTTAGAAGTTTTTAAAAACCAGAGTTTATCTCCAGTATTCAGCAGGAAACTTTTAAAACGTGAAGATTTATTACAGCAGCAGCTCTTCTGGTTCAGGAAGCGGAGGATCATGGGTAATATCTGCAGTTGAGTTGTGTTTCAGCTCAGTGTGTAAAATGTAGTTTTTTTCCTCAGAGCATCGAGAGCAGACTGAGGGTCGTCCTTCCTGAAGACCTCGGCTCGTCTCTGATGGATGGCGTCGTGCTCTGTCATCTGGCCAATCACATTCGTCCTCGCTCAGTCGCCAGCATCCACGTCCCCTCGCCTGCAGTGGTACGTCTCCGAGCGTTTCTCTGATGTAGTTTGTTCTAAAGCAGCAGGTCGTGAAATAATTCTGAGCTGTAGTTTAGGAAATAATGACTTTTGTGTATCTTTGTGCTTCCAGCCCAAACTCAGCATGGCCAAGTGTCGGAGGAATGTGGAGAACTTCCTGGACGCCTGCAGAAAGATCGGAGTACCTCAGGTAAGAGCGGACGCTGTGCGATCGCCATGTTCCTGCTCTGACCACAGAACAGTGGCCTCTCTGAACTGGGGGTCGTTTTTCAGACACAACTTACCTGCTGACCACTGATTATTCATTAACCTTCTGTGCTACATTTAAAAACACTCAAACAGGATGTGTGGGTTGAAGGTGACATGTGAATGACAGAGTTTTAAAAGAAACAGTTAGTTATTGTAGTTTGGTTTCATTAACTCGGCCCTGGACACCAACACGAACACAGTGGTGATACATGTGTTTTTACATTAGCTGTCATTAACCTGACAACACCTCCAGTTCATCAGAGTCACTCCCCTTCACAGCTCCACGATGTCGTCAGCACGATGGTTATTATTTATATATTGATTAAGGAACCGTGAAGGTGTCCTGCAAAACACAAAGTACGTTATGTTGGGTGAGGAAAAGACTTAATGTTATAATTCACGTTGGTGAATGAGTTAAAAAGTGAAATCCAGGACTTTTGCAGACTGGTGACGACAGTGAACCAGAGCTGGGAGGATGGCTGAGGAGTTCACTACAGCAGAATTTAATTTGTCATGTGACGCTTTGGAGATAAATCCTGAAGTAAGAGACTGAATGCTTCTTTTGAAACGGTCTTTAAACGTGTCACGACTCAAGTAGTTCACATGTAAACTCAGCTGACTCCCAGGACTGGTTTCATTTTCATACCTGCCTCCTTTTTGTTCTCATCGCTTTTAAACAGGGTCATTAATGTCGACATTAACGACTCATCACCGCTGTCATCGCTGCCTGTGGCTTCCAGCTTCCTCCATCACGAGCTGATCAGAACAGCAGCTTCAGGCTTCGTCCACACGACCACGTCTCGGTAAAATCTCGTCCACACGAGCGTTATGGCTTCGTTTCAGTCTCAATCGCCGTCAATGCTAACGCCTGAAAACTGACGTACACGGGCAGTGCACGTGTTTTAGATTTCAAACTAGAACGAGCCCAGCAGCTTTTCCAGACTTTTTCATTTTAGCAGCTGTAAAACTCTGGAGCAGATTGGACGCCAGACTTTCGGAGTTGAGTCATTTCCAGACAGAAGGGAAGTCGTGTGGACGTAGCCTCAGTGCGACACAAAGAGCCGTGGGAACGTTTTCCTGCAGGTCTGAACCAGCGCTGATGTAACGAGTGCTTACGGGCCGCTCACACTCAACATGGATCAATTTGTAAAACGCACATTTTCTGTTTCTTGACTTCACCAACAACAACCACACGGACACGGTGTCATTCCAATATCCACGTCCACACTTACACACCGAAAACATGGGTCACATGACAGGAATAAACAGGAAGTACTGTTGCTTAGTTACAGAAAGTACTTGAGGAACAGCGATGGTGAAAAGTACGAGCAGGGATTTATTTTCTCGGAGCGAAGGAAACATTCACATTAGAGAGAGAAGAAGAAACGTGAGCGCTGCTCAGACACTCTTCATATTAACTCATGAATGAGTTGATTTATTTGAACGTTGTTTTATTTTCTGTCTTCTTTATTTATTTCTGCTTCACATCGGCCTCTTGAGTTTTTTCTCTGTGCGGAAGTCGTTTGTTCTTGTTTCTCTCTCTGGTTCTGATCTGTGTCTCTGCTCGACCTTTGACCTCCGTCTCCTCTGCTTGCTGACTCTGTGTGGACGCTGCTAACTCGCTCGGCTGCTTCCCCTCACAACGCTGAGCTAACCTGCTAACAGCTTCTGTGCTAACGTGCCGACACCTCAGCTTTTCCTTGTTGTCTCGTTTACTGAAGAGCGCATCCCGCCCGTTGCCATGGTAACCCCTGCCTGCCTCCACCACCAGCTCGCACTCTGTGACCTTTGACCTCTGTGTCCATTGGTTAACCTCCTGCTTTTTGTTTCTCTTTTTACTTTCCGGCTGGATGGTGACATGCCTTCCTCCTCTTCCTCTATCTCTTTTTTCTCCTCTTCCTCCTCCTTCTCTCCTGCCTCCTCTCCTCTCCCTTCCTCTTATTTCTCTTTCTCCTTTTTCTTCTCCTATTCCTCCTCTTGTCTGTTCTTCTTTTTCCTCTTTCTCTGCCTCCTCCTCTTTCCACTCTCTTCTTCGTCTCTTTTCATTCTCTGTCACGTTTGTGGTTGTAAACACTTGTAACATCATTTAACCCCCCCCCCCCCCCCCCCACGGTCTGTTCTCCATCTTTATTTCCTTTTTCTCCTCATTCTTCTCTTTTCTCTTTCTGAACATAATCTTTATCATCTTATATTTCCACTTCTTCTCCTTCATCTCTCCTGCTGTTTTATCTTTTCTTCCTCTGAGAATATTTCTCTCACTCTTCTCTTCTCCTTCGTCCTCACCTTTACATCCCTCCTTTTGTTCCATCCTAACTTACACATTTCTCCTTTATCCTTCTCATCTGCTTCATCCCTTATTCCCTTCCTCATCTTTCTTGTCTTGTTTCTTCCTCTTCTGTTCTCTTTCCCTTTTTTGCCTCCTTCTCTCCTTCCTTGCTTCCCTTCCTCCTCCCCTTCCTCCTCCCCTTCCTCCTCCCCTTTTTTTTGCATACATCCCTCCTTCCCCTCCTTTATTTATTCCCCTCTCTCTTCCTCGGGGGGGCACCAGTCTTCCCTCTGTTCGCCCTACGACATCACCCAGTGTCGCCTGCGGCCTGTTCACGCCACGCTTCGGGCTCTGGTTGCCTTGGATTCGACCACCGTGGAAAGGAAACAGGAAGTGGCTTCGAACCCTGCGTCCTCCGTGATGTCAGAGACTCCCTCAGTGGTTTCTGTCACCACTCAAACCCCGCCTCCTGCCTGGCAAATCTGGGACCTCATTGGCTCGAGCCTGGTTCACATCCTCTGCCTCGTTCTGCTCTTTGTGGCCTATAGTTGGAGCGAGCTGACGTAGCCGTGACAACAGCCCCCTGTCAATTACCTGCTAGCCCCGCCCTGTTTCTGATCAGGCTCCTCCTCCTTATTTTTGCTGCATTTGTGTCACATGGGAAAAATCATGATTCGATGTAAACATGGATCTCTGTAATCGGGGGGGGGGGGTCCACAGTCCTCGAGTTCATCAGATCAAGTTTTCGTCCACATGAGTTTTATTTAAAATGTTTTAAAATCATCTCAGTTTCTGTTTCAGTCGATCACAAGAGATCTGGTTTGGAGCCAAAATTTAGAACCTGGTTCCGGTGTGAACCCCTTGATCCAGTTCCAGATCTCATTCAATAACTTCCCCGGCAGTGCTGGGGGCGTGTCTGAGGACCAAACAGAAAATCTGTCTTCAGACATGAGCTCCAGGTAGAATCCAGAGACTCGTCTCACAGCTGAACAACTCAGCAGCAGGTTTTAAATTTCAGATCCTCCTCGTTCTTCAGGTGAGAGGTGGAGCAGACAGACAGGAAGTGATCATGTGATCATGTTTACATCACCTGACACCGTCGTCAGCTCTTCTCACCACAAACTGTCTTCACGTCTTCGTCTGTCTTCTACGTGTGTGTCAGCACTTTGTCTCCAGAGACATTTGTTTTCTTTCCATCATCTCTTGATTCTTCATCCTCGACTCTTTTGCAGATTTAAAAAAAAATGTGCTTAAATTATCTCCAGATTTGGAAACGAAGCTTCAGTCGAGCTGTGATTGAAAGTTTCTGAGTGAAACGTCTTATCACTGAACCGGGACTGTGGAATTTAAACCTCATCACTGATGAGCTCCTCTCAGTGACCGTTAACGTTCTCACTCACGTCACTGACTTCTGTTTCGACCTGAACTTGAATATTTCCTTAAACTCTCACGAGACAAAACGAACAAAAGCAGATTTCATGAATCTTGTGATCGGTGAAATCCTGACATGTGATACGAATGCAGCGTCTCTCCTGCTCCACGTTTCATTTTCTCTTGTGTTGGGATCAGTCGGCTCACAGACGTGTTGGAATGAACAGAAGCTGGACGCACAGAGCCGCAGGGTTCTTGACTCACGTCTTATCAACATGTTGGACGACAGAGACGTCTGATCTCTGCAGGACCGACGCTTCAGTCTCAATTATCTGGAGCCAGATGGAAAAAGAAAAACTCCTCCTGAGATAAAGTGAAACTGGGGCAGAGCTCTGAACGTGATTGTAGATGAGCAGTGTGCACAGTATTCAGACGGGTGTCTCTGAGGTGACAGTATGTGTCTCGTCTTCAGACATGAGCTCTGTCAGTGACATGTTGTGTAGTCGGTGTTTGTGACGCAGCAGCAGATTGTTCACGTCCGACTCGTTCACAACAGGAACACGTGGGGCGCGTTCAGGTCGAGGGGTGGAGCCTAAACGTGTCTTCATTAGAATCTTTTAGTTTCTGGTTCAAGTTAAATCATCAAGAATGAAATGGAGTCAAACACTTCCTCAACTAAGATTCTTTAACGTAACAATTCTATTTTCA